GCAAGCTGCGGTCTGATAGAAAGTATTGGCCCCGGTGCAGGGGAGTGTATTTAGGGGATGGGTTGGGGATTGGGTGATCTGTTCTGGCTAGGGGCACTTCCCTCAGGTAGGCAGGTGGGAGTGGGGCCATGACTGGTGTGCAGATGCACCGCTTGGAGCCCCAAGGATGGGACAGCGTGAGCAGGGAGAAGGGAGAATGCAGTGAGAAAGCCCCAAAGGCTTGGGTTCCTATGCTGCAGCTGCAGAAAGTTCTGCCAAACTTGGGTCCTCTGCCTGGCAGGCCTGAAGCGGTGTGGCAGGATGGGAATCTCTTGAGTGCGCGTGTGTGTCCCTGTGCATGCACGGGCATGCGTGTGTGTATAGGTGGTGGTGGTGGTGGGTGCCCAGGGAGGGGGCTGGCTGGCGGATCTGCAAGGAGTGCAGTGACGGGGCGGGCTCCTCTGGGCTGAGACCTCTGAGCGTGCGGGCAGGTCTGATTGTGGTTTGCGCTGAGCTCTGAGGCAGGACCACAGCCTCTGCCTTCCGCCTGGCTGTGGTGCCAGGAGCCGGCGTCCCGGGAGAAGGGGGGAGGGTCTGGCCTGCTGGACCGTGAGGGGTGCCGGGTGGGGCCCGAATCTGCAGGGGGTGGGGCGCCAGTCCTGGCAGAGCGGGCACACGGAGCACCGCACCAGAGACCACAGGTGTTCGCAAGGAGCCCTGGCTATGGGTGGGAGTCCACCTCTGGGTCCGAGAGATACTTTTGAGTGGTCTTGGGAACTGAACAAATTTGGTACCCCTACTCCGCCCCCAACTCTCCCCACTCACGGATCTCCTCAGAGCTCTGGGCGTGAGCTACCTATCTGGTGGCCATCTTCCCCCCCCATCCCCCCATAAAGCAGCTTTTCACAATGACTTTTTGATTGAACTAAGGGGAAATCCTAATCATTGTCATGATATCGGGCGGCTGCTTCTTCTAAGTCCGCTTCATCTTCAGGCAGAAGTTTATCATCACTTTCCCCTGAGTCAGTTTCAACAGTATCAGTCTGTTTCCTCCCCGCTTGGTCCGCCTTTAGAGGCGTTTTCTCATCTTGCAAAGAAAGTTTCTTGGAATGTTGAGTAACCTCTTGTAAGGGGTCTACGGAATCTCTCACTAAGCTCCATAAGGAGAATGTTTCTACAGGGATTTCTTCAGGCCCATGTTCATTATAGTATTTTTTTCATTCTTCCCCTGCTTGAGTCCATGTATCTAAACTGACGGTACCTTCTTCAGGAAACCATGGGCTGCATCGCTGGACAAAATTTAAAAACCCTGTTATCTGATGAGTCGACATACGGAAGGAACCCTTTTCCGTTAAGAATTTGTTTTAGAATTTCTACAAACAACAGTCGTCTTTCCTTAGACTCACTGTGGCCCATACTTCTCAAGTTCTTTATCTGTTCACCTCTACTTACCTGGTTGCCTTGCGCCCAGGGGGTCTGCAAAACCCTGGGTGAAGTCCTATCCACACCGAAAACAGGTCTCTGTTCGGGGGCGCCACTTGACAGGAGTCCAGCTCCGGGAGGGAGGGTTGAACTGGACACCTGAAGGAGGTGTGGAGTCGGCGAACACAGACGAGACAGACACGAGAGATGTTCTGGGGGAAGCAATCTCTGCTGAGTTCTTCCAAACAGCTTTATTTATACCACATAAAGTTTTGCAGACCACTACATAAAAACAATGCCTTATGATTAACTGCAAAGTCACCCTTATTGTTTCCACTAAAACCTGATAAAAGACCATTATAAGGTCTGTACTTTTTTCTATCATGTTCTGTCCTCTTCCTGGTTCTTTCCCCCTGTTCTCTTTGTCTTATGTCACATGCTATTCTTGATTGAGGTGTTCAGAAAATTTGGTTAGACTCATATCCTACTCACTGCCCTCTTTTTCACGCACAATGTTTCTTTCCTGGTTGACTAACAGCATAATGAAACTACCTCATGTGCTACTTCAAAGCCTAATATGTACAAGCAGTTAAATGCTTCTTTGAATTAAAAATTTTCCTTAACAAACTCTCCCATGGTAACTGTTCCATTGTCTACCTATGTTTTTTATTTTTTATACTCCTGAGGCACCATGGGGAGCCAAACCATCTGATTCTTTGCTAAAGACTTAATGTTTCCCCTTTTACATGTTATTAATGTTAACCATTCTCTCTCCTTCTATGTAAGACCCTGTCCAAGGTAAAGGGGCATCAGTTGGGGGAGGCAGTCTATAAGGTCCTCTCTATCGGGGAGGCCAAAAGAATCTCCCACTACCTAATCTGAATGGAATCCAGGGTTTTTGGTTTTTTTTGTGGATTTCATTTTCTCCTCTGACCTCAACTTTGGGGTTTCTTCCTCACTCAATTCCCACATATCCTTCTCAAAATTCCCAAAGATGTCTCGCTGTCTAAGCCTCTCCAAGCCTCAGTTAAGGAAAGCCCTGTCATAAAGAAGCAAGTTTTAGATCTGGTTTCATTCGTACTTCTCAAGACTGCCCTCATATCTGCTCCAGGTGCGGTAAACATGACAATGCACAAAGTTCTCAAGAATGGCTTTAACAACAGCAAATATTTGAGCGATGTTGGAAACCCTCGCTGGGAAGCTCTGCTCTGCAGAAGCTCCTTCCACCAGGCTGCAGCTTTGCTGGACAGCATGGTTGGGATGGCTCCCAACACTATACTGCACCCTGGCTGACTCATCCCTTCCCTGTAGTCCTTCTGTGAGGGGAAGTCCAACTGTCTACAGGTGGGCTTTGGGTCTCCACTCTGCACCCCCTCATTCGCATGGATGATTGATTTAGTTCCACTGTTTTTTCTTTGGGATTGTTTACCTTACCTATCTTACAGAGATAAACACGAAGGAAAAAAAAGAGGGAAAAAAGAAAGTCTATAAAGAGTTCCAGGTCTGTCTGCTGACCCTTATATTTTCCAATCGAGTCTGATGAGGTGCCAAGCCTTGCCTTCCCACCCCCTGCCCCAAGTCCAAAGTCTGTTTTGGGGATTCCTCGGGGACTTTGTTGCTTTGTTCCCCTTGCCGCTCTGTTGTGCTTCCTTCGTTTCGCCCCGGCGTTGTGGGTAGGGGGTGTGGACGTTCAGACCAGGCAAGGTTCCCACAATGTGTCTCCAGTGCACTATGGGTCAGGGGGGACATTGTGTCTTGTAGTAGTGCTCGCCCTATGTTCCCCTGTGCATTGCCTGCTCAGAGCAGTAATGTCGCCCTTGGGGCTTCCCCCC